AAAAAAAAAAGGAAAAAAAAATTACAGTTGAGATGTTTTTATCTTAATGAAGTTGAGAGCTCTGGAGATTAGCGTGTGCATTTTCACAGAGTCATAGCAGGACTGACCAGTCACACTGGACTGCTTCCGTTCCTCCCCGGCCGTGTCCGTGCGAGCAGTGATTGCCAGGCTGCTGGCTCAGGTGACAGGTATCTGTATCCTTACGTGAAACTGTTCTAGGGGCTTGGACTACATAGTAAAACAAAAACAAACAAAAAAAAATAATAGAGCTTAGTGTAAAATAATTTTATAAATGATCTTTTGTACTTTAGGACATCAAATTGTACAACTTTTGTATATATAAAAGCTTAGGAACTTTCTGTTTAGCAGAAAGGAAACACATTCCTACACTTTTAATGTATATGTTTGTTATAATGTCCATGTAAACATATGCCCTATGTTTGTGCCTTTTAATTAGTTTGTCTCAATAAACAAAAATGTAGAGAAGAATATGTAGCTATGACTTTGTTACCACTGTTCTTACTCCAGCTGTGTAGAGGTCTGTGTTTTTGCACTGTGTGGAGCTCGGCGTGCGGGGAGCGGCACGGCCGGCCCGCGGCCCCAGGCGCATGCACCCCACCCTCCCTCCCCACAGCCCCCCTGCATGTTGGCACCTGTAGATTGCGAGCCATCTCTGGGACCCGTGGCCACGGCACCACCTGGCACCGGTTTTCCAAAGTAGGTGTAGCCTTCCGGGTCTGGGTAACCACAGAGATGACCCTTAGGTGAAGTTTGGGTGTCCCTGAGCTTAAAAAAAAAGAAAAAAAAAAAAAGGAAAAAACCCAACAAAAGCATTAAAAGCCAATATGAAAATGTGTACTAGAAGTGGTTATCTATGAATTACTTACAATAAACAGGTGTGAGACTTAATTGTATGTTGTCAATTACTGCAGTATTGACAGTGGGTCCCTCGTACAGCCTGGCTGCTGTTATTTTTATCCCAGCAGTGTAGCAGTAGAATAAACACATTAAATACCGGCAAGGAAATTTTTCACTGTGACAGAGGCTTCCCAAACCACTAACCATGGTGCTCTTAGCGTGGCGTAGGAAAAGGGCTGTTTCCTTTTTATTTTATGTTGGTTCTGCTCGACTGTACCTGGTTTATGTCCACAAAGCTGCATTAGCTAATTGTCGACCTGTTTCATTTGTACTTGGGTAAACATTTGCTTTGTGCCGTGTATTAATGGGTCCGAGGTGTCCTCAGCTGTCTCAGTGCGGACATTGACTGCGCTCTGTAATGCCGTCGTACCAAATACATTAAGCTGTTTTTCTGACAAACAAAAGCTACCTGGTCAAGTAGTTTATCCGACGTGCACGCTCCCCGCTAATCCATGTCCGTCCCCGTGCGGCGAGGCCGGAGCTGTCACACCCGGTGATCCGTGTGGCACCTCGCGTTTAAGGCTCTAAGAAAATGGTGGATGTGAAGAACAGATGCTCCTGTTACACCGAGTTAGTTTCTATGCAGCTGATGTGCTTAGCCTAGTTTATTTCATGGAAACTTTTAAGCTGGATCGAGTCCAACATCCAGGGAAGCCTATTGCTGCCGTTGGTCCGAGTGGGGTTTATATCGAGCCCATTCAGGTCTCCGATTGCAAGGACTTCAATAGGGGGTTTATTTTTTTTCCTTCTGAAGTTTCCGTAAGCATTCAGCGTGAGGTGAATGGCTTAGCACCGACCGAGAGTTTTAAAGTTGAATTTTGCCTTGGATTTGTGCCGTGGAAAGTCAGAGCAGTCAGATGAACGGCACAGAGAGGCGTCCTCTGCGCAAGGAGAGCCGCGGGTGCCGGCTCTGGAAGCGGCCACAGGGACGTAAGTATTCCAGCCCAGCCACCCACACTGCCAGGAGTGGTGTCAATGGTATAAATGGGCAGTTTCTCTCTTTTTATTTGGAACACCTCACCACTTCCAGAGGGTGTTTGGGGTGAGGAGAAAACCGGGATTCCGCCTTTTATTAAAGAGTTACACCTGAGTGCTGTGAATTGGGAAGATTCTGTTCAGTCAGGATGAATCAGAGAGAAACACATTTTATTCTCAGCATAAGAGTTTAATTCTCTTTGCCCTTGTTCACAAATAAAACATTTCCCCCCCCCCCTTAAAACAACTTTTTCTTTTAGAGAGGCAGAAGAAAGAAGTATTTAATGTGTTTGCATTTGTCCACGAGAGGTTTAAAGAAAACCACCCAGACCCCAGTAAGCTGTTGAGCTGCAGCAATCCCAGGTTACATAAAGGGGCCGGGGCTGCTGAGGATTAGCCGGGGCATTCTGGGTGCTGATAAGCCTCCAAGTTCTGCTTGCTCTTCCCTCACTTTTATTTTAGAAACAGCCACTCAGAGCTGTATCCTGAAAACCACCTGGGGTTCATTTTCAAGGCTGTCGGGGTTAGATTCCCACCAAAGACGGAAAACTGGGATTTGAGGAACGCTCAGGTTTTTGAAGCATCCAGCGCTGTGGTGTTTTTTATCTCAGGGTCCCCGTGTGGGAGCTGAGTTGTTGAGAAGTGAACAACAGTTTCTCAGTGCTGGGCCCTTCGGAAAACTCCTGCCCTGCTCATTGGTGGCTGAGTTTATCCATCTCAAAAATAGATTAACAGTATTTTCAAAAGGCAGCTATTAAAAGCACTTCAAGTTTTTAAATGCCGTTGAGGTCTCAGTGCTTAAGTGGACCTTTTAACCCATGCTTTTTAGGAGAAAAAGTGTAAAAATAAATCTCTTCTAATTGTCAGAGAATAAAACAAATTAAACCTCATCCCCTTCTAAGCATTTGTTTAATTCAGCATGTTTATACTTCTTATCTTTGGATTGTTCGCTCACGGCTCCCAGAGCAGCAGCCGAGGGATGACAGAGGAACTACGTGCTAATTTTTATGTCAAAAATAGCTTTCACCTTTAAAGGCACATGGCTCACTGGCTGTTTGCTAATTACAAAAAGAATGCCAGAACTTCTCCTGCGAATCCATTTTACAGCTGTGTTCAGATTGGACTGGCAGCCCCTGGTTAAAATTGAGTGCTGAGGTCTTGACCTAGAAACAACCCTTTTTTGGTGTTGGTTTGGAAAGAGTATTTCAGTGCTGAGAGGAGCTGAGCCAGGCTGTCCAGCCAGCTCCCTCCTCAGCTGGCGACCGCCGCAGCGTCACATCATTCTGTCAGACGCTGCATCTCCCTGAAGCCCAAAGCAGGACCACTGGGCAAGCCAGGCTTGTGATTCTTAAAAGTATTACATTTTTTTGTTGTTGTTCTTCAGGTTTCTGGGCTATTCTGAATGAACCTGGTCTAGTGGAAGGTGTCCCTGCTCTTGGTGTGGGGTTTGGAATGAGGTGAGCTTTGAGGTCCCATCCAACCCAGACCATTGTGTGGCTCTATGATTTTTAAAAGTCCTGGGTTTTCCTTTAAGCATCAGTGCTTTTCAAAATCACACCTTTGGCATCTGCAATCACTGCTTGTGTCAGAGCACAGACCTCTGCTTTCCTCCAGAGCTTTTACAACCCCTGCCTCCCAACCAACCCATTTAATAAAAAAAGGGACATTTTACAAATGTGTGGAACCTTTTGTTGTCCAGAGAAGTCAGAAATATTGCATTCACTTTTTCACTTAGTTGTTCTCACCAGCTGTCAAGACAAAACCGTTCATGTTCTGTGTTTCCCGTGCAAGGCTTGTTTTTCAGGGAATTACCAATTTTGTTGGAACTGGCTGAATTACCTTCACTATTTTAATTCTTCATAGTTGTGCATTTCTATTCCCATTTCTTTTTACTTCCTAGTGTCATTAGCAGCTAAGACCCATATCAAAGGGACATAAAACCGCCTGTTTTCCCGAAACAAGCCTGGATTAGGAAGAGATTGCAGCCACCAAAGCTCGCTGCAAGGCGCTGTGCCTCGGAAGAGTCTGGTCTGCGTTAACTTGGGGGACAGAATGTTGTGGCACATGTTCCGTACGCACTGAAAGCCAAAGGTGTGCCTCCAGTGTGTTCCCTGCCAGAGCCATCCAGATCTTGACCCTGGACCGCTCAGCTCCCAGACGCGGATGAAACAACTGAGTGGGAAAAACCTCAGCGTGGAGAGCTGTCCTGTCAGAGCCCTGGACATCCCCTACATGTGCTTGGGCTCCAGCACCCACAGATGTGCATCCCAGCGGCCTTGCTGGCTGCAGCAGGGTGCTGTGGAAGCTGTGGTGCCCAGGGGTGTGGGTTCCTCCCACAGTCGTGTCCAGGAGGTTTGGAGAGCCACGAGGAAAGGGGAGGAGGCTCTGACCCGCTGCCATTCGTGGTCTCGCTCTGGTCTCTGTGGAAGGGGAAGTGTCTGCCCTGTGTAAACGGGTTCCTGTAACTTGTAAGAGGAGATTGCTTCCCATCCCGAGCTGTCAGCTGGAGCGTGGGACATGGGATACGGATGTTTTCTGCCTGTGCTCCAAGTGATGCTCTGTTACAACCCCATCTCTGATGCTCAGCCATGGGGCAGCAGCAGCATGTCCTCTTCCTTAACACGGGGCTGAGGGTCCAAGTTCCAGGAGCCTGGGACGTTCCTAATGTGTGGAGGAGGCTGAGCACCTGGAGAGCTGGGATCCATCCATCCACCCATCCATCCATCCATCCACCCATCCATCCATCCATCCACCCATCCATCCATCCATCCATCCTCAGGATGCTGCTCCCTCCACAGGCTGCCCAGGGCCGGAGGTGCCGACCCCCGGGCTGGGGGTGCCAGGGAAGCCTGGGGACAGCGGGAGGGCCCGGAGACCCCCAGCCCCAGTCAGGGCTGCCTCACCGCGGGAGGCGGCGGGGGCCGGGCGGTGCCGCCCCTCGGTGCCCCCGGGGGGACACCGTGCCCGGGGGGGGTGACCCAGCCCCGGAGGAACCCGCACGCCCCCCGCCCCCGCAGTCACTGGGCTCGGCCCCGCTCCCGCGCCCCCGGCCCGGCCCGGCCCCGGCCCCGGCCCCGCCGCGCCGCCCCCGCTGCCGGGCACGGCCGCCCCGCCCGCCCGCCACGTACGTCTCCCGTCCCGGCTCCTTTCCATGGTTCCCGGCGTGACTGGAGCCGCCCGCCGCCGCCGCCCCCGCAGCGCGGCGCCGACCGCCGGTAAGGGGGCGGGCCGGGCCGGGGCTCTTTGTGCGGCGGGCCGGGCTGGGCTGGGCTGGGCCAGGGCCGGGGCCGGACCGGGCGGGCGGCGCCGCTCGGCCTGCGCGGGTCGGGCCCGGGGCCGCGCGGGCCCCGCCGGGCACGGCTCGGCCTCCACCGGGGCCCGGGCGGAGCGGCCGCGGCGGCGGCGGCGGGGCCGGGCCCGGGGCCGAGCCTGTTGCGGCCGCCCGGCCGCCCTCCGCAGCCCCGGCCCGGCCCCGCCGCCGCTCCGGCCCCGCCGCGGCCCCGCGCCCGCCGGGTCCGGGAGGGTCCCGCGTGGGGAGCCCTCGGGGCGGTGGGGGGCCGAGCCCACCGGCCTGGCCTGGGGTGAGGGTCCCGTCCCCGCGTGGGGCCGGGGGCCGGAGCCGCGTCCCGCTCAGCCCCGAGCATCGCTGCTCCCTGAGCGTGACCCCGCCGAGCGCCGCGGGTTGGGGTTTGGTGGCTTCCTGCTGCTGGACAGCCTCCCCATCCCCGGGTTCACGGGGCAGCTCCCTTCACACCCCGACAGCGCCGGAATCCCCGATATCCCCAGCATCCCAGCCGGGTGGGTCAGCGCTTGGGGCAGGAACGGCGGGGCCCTGGCGTGCCATGGCGTTGGTGGTCACCTGCTGGGGTCATTTGTGAACCTCCGTTCGGGTGTCCAGCCCAGCCACATCTCACACCCTCCATAAGGATGGAGGGCACTGTCCTGCCAGGCTGTTCCTCTCCTGGGGTTTCTGTCCAGCACCGAAATTGCCGCCGCTGGGTTGTGGACACACGGTGATGGGGAAGGGTACGGGAGCTGCCTCTCTCGTGCAAGTCAGCGCTCAAAGCAGCGCTCTCCTGCACCGTCTGTCTCACAGGCGGGTTGGAAAGGCTCCTTTTTATTATTTTCTTAAAAAGCATTGGAGTCACACCTCCTCCTCACACCTCCTCCTGCTGCTACCACTGACAACAAACACGGGGGCCGGAGCCATAAGGATTTCCGTGGGAGAGCCGCCATCCTGGGCTGACCCCCGAGGCTGCCAGTGGGGCTTTGCTGGCGGGGCTGCCCCACAGCTGGGGAAGCTGTGGCTTTCCTCACCTCCTCCTCCGTCTCTAACAACATAGGCTGAGTGGCATCTGCTCCGCTGAGAAGCTTTCTGTGGTTTTCATGGAGTTTTTCCTGTGGAAGTGCCTGGCTGGAGCACGGCACGGGGGCAGCGAGACCCCAGGGGAGCCCTCTGGGAGCAGAGATTGGCCAGTGCTGTTCATGGGATTACTGGGAAGCTTTTGGTGGTCCTTATGGCAGAGACCCTGCCTTCAGCTCCTTGTTATGCACCTGTGGCCTTTCCCACTATGTTATCCAACTACCTGGGCAGTGCTCCTTGTGTCTCCTTGGTGAGGATGTGCCTGATGCCAGCAGAGCCTGACATGCTGATCCATCGGTGCCCACAGCCCCTTCCCGGTGCCGAAGCCTCTGATTGCCACAAGAATTTCTGTCAAAGGTGCCCATCCTCTTCCCAGCCACAAAGTTCCTGGGAAAGCTTTGACTTTTCCAGCATTTTATTTAAAAAGAGCCTTCAAATGAAAACAAACGAACAGAACACACCGAACCTGACCTGCTGCCCCGACCAGGTCCGTGGTGTGGCTGAGCGGCTGTGCCCTGGTGGCAGTGCCGTGGTTCCCTCTGCCCCGGGGAGCAGCAGCTCGAGAGCGAGCACTTGGTGCTTATCTGCCTGCACAAACCCCCTCTGCGGGGGCACAGATAACGAGGGATGCTGTGGGCACTGGTGTTCCAAGTGGGAGAGGAGCTGGAGGGCCATTCGTGCCCAGGATCTGTGCCATGAGGGTAAAATCCCAGGATGGGTGGGGGCTGTTGCCATAACCCTGTGGATGCACTCGCTGGCGCATCTCAGGCTGCTCGTGGGCAGAACTAGGAGGCTTTTGGGTGCCACAAGTTAATGATGATGATGATGGCAATCGATAACTATAAAATAAGAAAAAAGCTTGAAGTAATAGCCCTGAGCCCTTGGCAGGTGTGCAAGGCAGAGATGGGTCCCTCTCCTGTGGCGTGGCCGGGGTGGCAGCGACTCTGGCACCGTGGCCAGGGTGTGGAGGGATGTTGACTGGAGCCTCACCTCTGCTCGGTGGCTCTGGGCTTGCAGCAGTGGTTTGGGACCAGGTTTTCCCAGGCCTCGGTCCCGGTTTTGGCTGTTCTGCCGGTTCCCTGGGGTCAGCACGGGGGCTGGGTGGGCACCACAGCGTGCGAGGCGAGCCGGGACAGGGAGAGACAGCCGGGACGGCGAGACAGTCCCTGTGTGGACAGGGAAGCTGGAAGGAGAAAGAAACCCACCCGGCTGGGTGGAAAGCTGGCTGAAAATAACAGGAAATGAGAACAGGGTGAACATCTGGGTCCAGCTCCTGCACCGCTTCCGACGGGCGCGGGGCGGCTGCTGCTGCGGGCGACAGCGGCCGCAACCCGGCCCCTCCATCGAGCAGCATGGTGACATGTCCCCACCGCTGCTCCGGCAGCGCCGAACCGCCGGGGTCTCGGAGTGTCGGCCACCAGACACCCCGCTCCTGCCCCGGGGCTCCCGGTGCCCGCCCGGTGCCCGCCCGGTGCCCGCCCGGTGCCGGGGGCACAGGCTGCGCTGCCCCGTCCGCGCTGCCCCCGGCCCGCCCCGCCGGCCGCCTTTGATGCGGGTGAGTGGCAGGTCCATTGTGGCCCCTTTGTGCCTCCCTCGGTTCTCGGGTCCGCACAAAACCTGCCATGGAAACCAGAGCCAGCCGCTGCCCCAGGAAACCCGCAGGCGCAATTAGGAAATGCAAATAGGAATGCAAATCCCTGCCTCGCCTTCCAGGGCCCGGAAAGTTGTCCCTGGGCCACCGATGTCCCCGGGCCACCGATGTCCCCAGGCCGCTGGAGTCCCCATCTGTGGGGACGGGGAAGGTGTTGGGGCAGGACTGAGCAGGGAGCAGGAGCTGGGCTGAGCAGGTTTCGGGGTGCCTGGGGCTCTTTCCAGCTGCCCCCCGCTCAGCTGTGGAGGGACCGGGGCATCTCGACCCGTGCTGAGCGGTGACTCATAGGTGACAATATGACATTGATATTTTTTTCCATCCTCTCGGTTGCCCAGCGACAAACAAACAAACAAGTGTCTTAAAACCCAGAGTAATGGCCTCGCAGGAACTGTCCCCTCCTGCCACGGCTGGCGAGGCTGGCCCTGCCATATCCTGGTCACTGGGGTCTGCCTGCATCTCGGGGGTTGTTTTGGGGAGGTAACACTGTCCTTCCCACACCCTCTGCTTGGAGGGTGTGAGCTGGCAGAGAGAAGGCAGTGCCTGCTCAGTGGTGAGGACCCTCCTCATCAAAGCCAGCAAGAATAGGTGGAAAAGGAGGTAAAATCCACCCAGCAGTAACTCTGGGAAGCACAAACTCTTCAGGTCTTCATTTCTAAGTGACATTTATGAGCACTGGAGACTGGCTCTTCCTTAGGTCCCCAGAGGAGTGTGTGTGGGTGGAGGGGGGATAATAGGGCTGAAGAGGATGGAGAGTGGAGCAGTTAAGGGTGGATGCTTGTCTGAGCAATTCCCCTCCCTGGGAGGAAGCAGTCAGGTTTTCTTTTCCCATCTGCTGGAGGAGCTGGGAGCCAGGGAGACGAGGTTGGCACATGGAGGGCATCATCCACAGCAGTAATCTGTGTGGGGAATGGCAGATCCTTTATGGCCCAATCTGAGCCAGGCTGTGCTGCTTAAAACCAACCCTTGTTGAAGGCTTTTATTTTTCCAAGTTACAGCCCTGCATACTTTCCTATCGGCAGCTGGAGCGGTGCGGGATGTGCATCCCCATTAGTGGTGCTTTTCTCCAGCCCTAGCCTGCTTTTATTGCTGGGAAATGAGCTCTGACTCCTGGAAGTGGTATTTCTTCCTTCTGCCTGACAGCTGGTCGATCCCTGCCCTCGCTCTCCCTTCCCCAGGGAAGGCACACGCAGCTGGGCACGCAAGCACACCGGGATGGAGCCTGGCCGCTGTCCTTGGCGTAGCAAAGCAGGGCTGAACAAGGGAAAATAGGGAGATCATCTCTGGAAAATGGAGGGAAGGGTGGCTGCAGCCCTGGTGATGGAGATGGGTCACTGGTGTAAGGCAGTGGTGGTGAGAGGGGACAGCCTTTGGGGAGGATCCCCAGCTCCTGGAGCCTAAACTGTTGTTTCTAAAATCCTTGTGGCTTTTAACCTCCCTGACTGGTGACTGCCATGGTCAGGCCAGTGCAGATCAACCGGGATGGGATGGTGACAAACTTAAATATAATGAAAGAGAAGTGAGATAGGATTTTGAATAAGAACATGACCCATTTGGGTGTCTGAGCCCAGCATGTGGTTGGTGACAAAGTGGGCAGCAAACAGAGCCACTGCTGGGAGTCTGGGTCCCCTCACTGCCCAGAACCAGCGCTGTGCTGGCACAGGAGTGATTCTGCTGCTGAGGAGACTGAGAGCTTCTCTGAGCACTGGCCTGGCTTCAAATCCAGGTTCGTGTCCCATGCAGTTTCTGTGTATATCTGTGATGTGCTGTGATAGAGCAGAAGGAAAGGAGCAAAGTCAATATTTTGCCTTTTTGGGGCTTTTCTCCGCCCTGTGAGCCACGTTGTGCCGGGATGGAGCAGCCTGTGCTGGAGGCTGGCAGGAGGGGCCTGACGCAGGGTGTTAATTAAATACCTGTCCCTGGTGAGGTGTAGCCTTTCAAGCAGGTTCTCCTCTGCTGAGCAATGTCACCCTGCGTGAGGGAGGACAAAAGCCTGGTGCAATTACAGTGTGAGGCCGTGTCCCAGGACAAGGAGGGTAGCGCCCGGATTGTCGGCTGGGCACTTTCCCGGGATAGCTACATCAGCCATATGGCTTAGTGACTCGTAAAAAAACCCCTCCTCTGTTTGTGACTTAATTAGTCCCTTTCTCTCCCTCTGTCTTGGCTCGCAGCGATGAGCGCGGTGTGAGGCACTGTGGGGTGAG